AAGCACTACTGTACTATTTTGACCATAGACCCTCACATCCTTGCAACCCCGAGACAGAAAACGCCCTCTTCACTTCGAACGACCAACGCCGGGGTACGGATAATTGGCCACAACGGGCCAGTGATTCATTACGTGCGTGGTTGCATTGCGCTGAAGACAGAGGACAGAGGACAGAGGCACCAACTACGTACGTGTGTGTGTTGAGCGTAAGAGAGAAGCCATCAAACTACGTAACACGGCGCGGTGTGCTCAAGACAAGCATTCAACTTACGTGTGTGCATCGTGCTGAAGACAGCGGCAGTCAATGCGCATGCGCTTGCATTGTGATTAGGACAGAGACTCAACTTACGTGTGCATACGTGTGTGCATGGTGCTTAGGACAGAGACATTCACTAAGCCCGTGTGTGTTTTGTGCCTACGAAAGAGGCACCCAAATTACGGGGGCATCGCTCCCAAAGACAGGGGTGCCCAAATAATGGGCGCATCGTTCTGAACAGGGGCAGTCACTACGCCCGTGTGTGCTATAGCTGGGGTCTGGCCGTCGAAGGCGCGATCCGTCCTGCCCAGAATAATCTCGTGATGTCGTCCCACCCATGAAGGGGTATCGTACATACCCACCTCGCGGCGTTCGATTCTTCATCATGCATTGTAAAACTAGGTACCTTCTAAGAGGGGGCTCCGATAGGCGACGGTCGAAATCGGTTGTCGCGGACTCGACGCTTCAAGTATACTCAAGTAGTTGGGTACCCTCTTTTTTCCGGTATAAGAGGGTGGAGGGCCTTCATCACACCACCCCCATATATCGGAGCGTGGTACGCACACTTCAACATGATTATTTTTCAGATCGTTCGCATGTGTATGCCACGGAAGCGTCCGCTTCAGTCTTCACCATTGCGGACGCTGGCAGGTAGATTTCAGGATGGTTTCTTCTAGTGTCAGGACAGCAGCAGCTGCAGCTTCTCAAATGTCGGGTTGCCTTCCGTACCCTTGGCGTTATTTTCTACAAGACAAACATGCTGGAAAAAGAATGCAACTGGAGAAGTTGGGGGTAGGGTTAGAGGGGTAGGGATAGGGTCTGCGCACCCCCTCCCCTCTTATTTTTTCCTCACAAACTTCGCCATCTCGCGAAGGCGGTCCCTTCTATTTAGTGTCCAGTCAAGACCAGCAGCAGCAGCTATTGGGGTACTGTATCGAGTTCCTTCTTCACCTCCCAAGCTCAGCCCGACCGAATCGACGAAAGATACCCCGGAGACGTGCGTCATCTCCTCGCCCGGCGCCGATTCCGCCGCCGCGTCCGCCGCCTCTTGAAGCTGTCTGAGGATCTCGTTCATCGCGTTCTCGTCTCCCATGTCCTCCAAAACTGCTTCGAGAAGAAGTAGCGCAGTGTTCTTTCCCGCTTGTTTCTTGTTCCTCTTCTCCAAAGACGATCACACCTGGCGATATGCGGTCAGCCGGTGTGTGGGTGGGGCTGGAATGATTGATGCGAAATTGCCAAGAGGGGGGGGGGGTAGAGAGACAAGCCCATAACATCTCATACGAGGAGAGTTGTTACAGGAACGACGTATGATCCGCGTTTCCTCTCTTCCTACAATTGCTTTCTTCCCACAAACGTGGGCAAGTACCGCCAACCTGGCGGCTGCGGCTGTGGCTGAGGCTGCGGCGGATGATTTTCCATTTTCCGCCCTCATCCAAACAATGCAACTGCTGGCATGACGTCTGCCTGACTCTCGACCTTGACACACGACCCATTCCCCCTGTTGGGACTTTTTTGAAGTCTTGGGAGTTCCTCGTTAGTTCTCTTTTGAATGCGAAGGCAAGTTGCGGCAGTGGGAACAAACAGCAGTCTTTGCATCGGACAAATTGTACAACATGCATATTTTTTTCTATCTTTAGCGTATGCAGCATATGGTATGCATTGGTTCACATACCAATCCCAAATCCAACCGAGATCAAGATTCGCTCAACGTTCATGGGTATGTGCACGTATGTGAGTGAACGCAGATGAATGCATACGCGCACACGCACGGCAAACACAAAGACCTAGGATTTGGAACGTCGGTGCAGGTTCCGTTTCCGGAGGAACATCACAAAAAAAAAAAGGTGTAGGATCCCAGGATCTTCCCCTTGAATAGTACTTCGATGCATAGTCACTCGATGACGTTCGATCCTACAACTTGCTGTTCGATTGGTTCGATTGGGCAGTCGGCCTTACCCAGTTGGTTACCTGTGACAACTGGGCGCACTTTGCACATGCAAGAGTTTCCTTTACCACGACTGGTTTATTATGGAAAGACACACCGCAGATCTCACCGTGCGAAAAGGCCATGTACAAGAACTCACCTACAACGAGCACCAGCCATCGTGGCAAAGCATCAACCAATACTCATAATCGCGCATCATCACAGGAATGATGATGTGCTTATGTTCTGCAAGCAAGAAGCGTAGCGTGGCGCAAGGGGGCGCGAACCTAGTCCCAGGACATCACATGATTCACATGGATCAGAAAAGAACAACGCTTGCACGTTCGTTCGGTCGGTCGAGGAAGGGCAAGCACCGGCAACAGCACCACCGTTTACTGTCGCTGCTTCTGCTGCTGCGAGACGTGCGTTGCAGTACACAGCGCACATGAAGACATGGAAAGGCGTACAACTGTTCACGTCTCGGAGAGCAGCAGCGCGCTCGACAATATGCTATGCATATGTATGTACCGTATGTGTAACCTACTGCTGTTCAACAGCATCACCGCAAAAATTTGGAACTTTCAACTGATTTCGGAAGGAGAGGTATCAAGGAAGGGAAACAAACACCCTGCCCGTTTGTTCGCAGCTTGTTGTCTCTTCTTTTTCCCTATGCATACACCTTGCGTCGATATGCTCAAAAAGCAAACATTATAGGGTTCGCATCCCGAGGGCATGTGGGGAACAGCCTCCTCTCTGCTATGGGCACAAGGTGTGTAAGCACGCAGGAAATATTTTATGTACCACCACAGCAACTGCTTGCTGTTGGAGTATGTCATTTGGCGGTGAACTAACAGATACAAACAAACACACCATCGCGAGGTGTGCCATGTGGGTACACTTTGCAGTAGTTTGCAGACTCAAGTGTCGCCGCCATACTTTCGGGTGAGTTTTGTTGCATCAGCACAATACACGCAACACACAGCAGCAGCAGCATCGCAGCATCAGCAGGCACTAATGCCCTATGCCTAGCTACCTATGCCACGATTTCGGCAGCTGCTGACGGCCGAAAGCTCGACGACCCTGTTGTGCTCGAAGATTGTTCTTCCTTCCATGTAGTCCATGTGTACAACATGCAGTACCTTGGAATCATACCCCCTCGGTCTCTAAAAACATGTGAGATTGCTGCCACCGCGGGAAACATCTCTAAAATGACCGGTTGGTCTATCGGAACGACAATCAAAATGTGCAACTCAAGATGTGGGCGGCATAGACAAAAACATTTCAGGCAACCCAACCTCCTTGTATTTTTGAAGCAAACAGAGCTAAAATAGCTAGCTCACCCACAAATTACGCCGTCTTCCACAACCCCCCCCCAGCCCTTCTCTCACCTCCACCGCTGTTGTGCTCCTCAGCGGTCGAGGAGAGGCCACAGCAGCTGCGCAGCCTTTTTGTGCTAAAATAGGCGAGGACTTCGCACAATAGTATAACCCCGCCTCACTCGGGTTTTTGAACGGAAGAACCACAATACAAATACACTGTCTCTCGTCACACCTTTGCTCCCGCCGGCTGGTGCCGCGATCCCACAGCCTGGAGAGGAGTCGCACGAGCCAGCTGCCGCCGCTGCTGCAGAGCCTGCGGGAGGGCGGGGATATCGGTTGGTGGGATGGGTGGGTACCTCTCTCTTCCCGCTCTCCGTGTCTATGTCTCTGTGGGAAAATCAAAAAGGCCGGAGGAAAAAATTACTTGTTGGTAGCCCCGCTCACCTGCTAGGTCGCTCGTTTGGTTTGGTGTGTCCTGGGGCGAAGATGATGCGAGCCGGAGTCAGGAGCGGGATTTTTGCTGCTTTGGACGACCGTGGCAGCCCGAGAGAGAGGTAGAGGGGAAGGGAGGTAGCATGCACGCACACACACACACAGCAGTGGGCGGTTCTGCGGTGGTCACGCGCAATCCGCAGCGGTGGATGGTTGCACGACCTTGGTTGATGTGAAAAGTGTCTGCGTCTCCACTGCCTCTTGCTGTTTGGGGAGCTCAATGGTTGGGTAGGTTGGTGGTTAGAGACGGGGGGTCATAAAAATGGAGTACGCTCCGCGAGACCCGGGGATGTAAATATAACATCCCCGAAGCTTATATAGCCGAATTACGGTTCGCGCAATGCCGAACTCGTTCACCAGCCGTTCAGAGTACGGCGTGCAGCCTGAGCCGTGTCGTGTGTTTGGGTGGCGGAAGGAAGCAGAAACAAGGAGACGATGAAGATTAATTGAAGGCTTGAAGTGAGTTTCTCGACGTGTACCGCCAGGTCGACCTTTTCGGCCGCCACTGGCTCTGTAATTCGCCCAATCAACCCGAATGTTTGCGTTTTTCAAAGCACGCGGGAAAGAGCCGCGGGCTGCTGAGGGTGCCCTACTTACAGATCTACAGATGCACACATATAAAATGTAGGCTACATGGTATATGTAGTTCCTACACGCGCTTCGATTTATGTCGATAGTAGTGGTTCCAATCGCAGGGTGCGACTCGGGGTTTAGGGACTGCACCACGTGGCTGTTCGGCAAGAAAACACGAGGTGTTGTTCCCCGCGGCGGGACAGCAGCATTCAAATCCACCGTGGCCGCGAAGGGCATGTGTAGGCAAAAACCGATGACAATTTACAGGGGGGTTCACACATGACGGGGTCCAACCCCCCCCTCCTATGTGACCCCGATTGGGTCGTCTAGCTAGTAGAAGTGGAGGATAGGGGCCAGAGGGGCAGACGACAGAGTCCAATGATGGGAGAAAAACAAACAAACAAAAAAAACACATGCATAGGTCTACAGTAGGTGGCCCGATATAGTGGCAACCTGAATAGTAAAGTGCCCGATATAGTGGCATGAAACTGTGAAAATCTCCTGGCAAAATCTCAACCCGATATAGTGGCACTTTGCCACTATTGAGGACGGGGCCCTCAATAGTGGCATTTCGGGCATCACACACACCCAATAGTGGCAGTTCCAACTAGTGGGCCCCCGCTATACTGCTGTACCACACCTGCCCACACACACTCTCAGTAGTGGGCGCCACACGTATCATGCTAGTCTGCGCGGACCAAGAACTGTGTAAACTCCCAAACCGACCACTGGGAGAGAAAGATGGGCACGAGTGTCGCCTTGGCTGCGGTGGCAGGCTTCATGGGATATGTGGTGAACCAGAGGAGNGTAGAGTGTTTGCCGACTCGAAGTGCAATCAGTCGGCTGACGCCTACAGTTGCAGAGCATCGTTGTGGTTGGGTTGATGCGCCGGGGTGGGGGTGTTTGATTTTTCTAGTGTTGTAGGGCTGTTTCAGTTAGTTTCGCGTCTCTACGTTGCTGTTTTCATGCGTTCTACACGTAGTGTTGAACCCCATGTTACACTGCCCGCCGGACAAAAAAAAATGATATGCCACCTATGATACAATGCGTTTGGACGTGGTTCCTGTGGTCTGCCTGCACAGAAAAAACAGGTCTTGACCACAGAAGGCTCGGTAACCGTTGGATAATCAACGGCCATTTCATGTGTTTCATGCGGATACTGCTGCACACAAATAAACCACGAGGAGTGGAACAGTATACACGGCTTTACAGCGCATAATGAGTGTACAGCGTGAACATCGAACCTCTCTATTCGATATAGTGGCACTATTGCCACTATCGACTGTCTAATAGTGGCAATAGTGCCACTATATCGAATAGTGGCACTGCCCTGAATAGTGGCACAACTCTGTCTGGCCACTATATGCCACTATATCGGGCCACCTACTGTACTCGTAATCTCGATGATCATGCGTAGCTGCATCAGTAGTCTGTCGAGCCGAGACTTAACACAGCAGCATCCCTGCAAAATTGACAAGGAGGTGTCGCTTCTCGGGCCGACGAGGAGTTGAAATGGCACCAAGCGCCACGTACCGTGTGATATCCCGCGTGCACATGCACCCGTGGTCTAAGGTCGAGCTTATCTCTACAATTGAAACGAAGGATGAGAATCGCACCTTCGTGTGGCAGACTTCATCGGCACCCTCACGTGTGTTCTCTTGCGGTTCTATCTATGATGTATAACTTCGCAGGGCCTGACAGTTTTTTTTTCGTTTTGCAGCTAAGGTCGATGTTGACCAGGTGCCAATCTACTGGAGAGGGGCAACAGGACACGGGCATTCTCGTACGTTTATTAAACGAGTGTACGGACCTCCTTGTCGTGGTACATGATGAGCTGCCGTTGAGTGGCTGCGGGAAATCGGTCAGCGATTGTCCGAAGCGCTGCAGACAGCATGGCTACAGCGTTGTGTGCTTGTGCACATCCGTAGAACATGGCAGACATGTTGCGAGAGTGAACAGCCCGGCAAATACGGTATACCGTATGACACAAGATAACACACCCCCATGACCATTTTTCGAAGCTCGATTTCTCAACTGCAGGAACAGTCACAGCGCCGAAAACGGCGGCGTTGAAACCGTCTCGTCGAGAGCTTTTCGAAAATGCATCGTTTCGTTAATGCACCCTCTTCTTCGTGGAGTAGTCGTTCCCCTTCTTCCCCTCGCTGCCTCGGCAAGGTTTTGCGTAGGCATGACCCATAGCGAAGGGGGGAGTCTTTCTAGCGAGCAGGGCTAGACTCACCCTCAAGAGACCGATACCTTCNAATGCACCCTCTTCTTCGTGGAGTAGTCGTTCCCCTTCTTCCCCTCGCTGCCTCGGCAAGGTTTTGCGTAGGCATGACCCATAGCGAAGGGGGGAGTCTTTCTAGCGAGCAGGGCTAGACTCACCCTCAAGAGACCGATACCTTCTTGCTTCGGCGCACCCGCCGCTAAGCGTGCGTAGTGGTGGAGTTGGGTTGAAACTGGTGCGTCAGGTACAAAGGTGCAGATGCGCGGGCCTCCAGGCCGTCGGTGTAGGCAGCAATGCCCATCTCATCTTTGTGCGCGGAGGCAGACGTCATCAGAAAGGTGGACGGGCACTATGTACACGGCCCTAGGTTTGCTAGAGGGAGCTGTACTGTCTCAGTAACCTGGTTTTGCCATCAAAGGAGGAGGGGACAGGTGGTGACGAGCTGATTGGGCTGGTTGACCCTTCGGCTCGAGAATTTTCAGACCAAGAACCCTAAGTGCAACGAGGGAGCAAGCGAGGAACCGACTGGTTAGGACAGCAACGAGAGCGTGTACGAAGTGGAGCGGGTCGAATTTGGTCGTACTAGGACTGGCCACAGCGGCACCGGAGCAGCGGCACCGGAGCATGCGGAACCGGAGCATGCGGACGGCATCGAACCGTGGCGCACGGACAAACATCTCTTGTGTTGTCAATTATTTTCCGTTGTTTTTCCTGAATATAGGTGTTGGGTGTGTGATAACGTCACTGGTTTTGTAGAGAGACGCGGCAGAGATGGCGCGGATAACCCGGGTGGCTTAATTGTGTACCTGCATCGTGGAAGACCCCTTCAATGTGGAACGATTCCTAGTCAGTGTCGATGTTTACACTGCTGTGCCTAACACAGATGATCTGGATAGATTCGGGTGACTGTCAACTGCAATGATGGCTTTGGTTGGGTGTTTTTCATTGTATGTCCACGGACTCATTCTGACAGCACTTCAGACAGCAGCTGCATGCCCCGAGCTTGTGTACCACGCACCATGGTGNTCGAGTTGTAGTGTGATGGGCGTGTAGTTCAGTTGAGCACGCAAACGTGCTGCAGGAATTGTAGGTGCACCTCCTCGAGCTTGTGTACCCTTTTCTTGCTAATAGTGTGTGTGTTCTTAAGATCGTCTCATGGCTCTAGCATTTTTGTGACTTCGGACCGAGTCTTTGCTAGATTTTGGGATTAGCAACTGAAACGAGTTTATTGTGAAGAAAAACAACAAACACAACAATTGAGCTTTGAAAATCGGTCCAGGGGTTGTGTTATCTTGTGTCATATACGGTAGTCTAAATGGGCTGTATTTTCATGGGCAGGGGGCTTGGTCACTTGTCGGGAGCTCCTCTCGAAAGCGGCGAAAGGCGTGTTCAATGGTCGGATGGTATGTAGGCAGTCGTAACCCCCTCCTTCCCCCAAACCCATCCGCGAGCCCACCAACATGTCAGCTGGCTCGCAACACAAATATGATCACTGTCAACTCACCCCTCCCACTATATTTGTATCCCTCGCCCCTTTCCTGCCTCCCTCTGTCCCGACCACATGACGCTATCCTGTTGACAGGACGGGTAGACCGAACCAGGACGGCAACCATTCTCTCCCTGCCCCTTATCCCCCAGCTCGCTTCGCAAGGTGGACTCGAAAACGTGCTTCAGCCGATCCGCACGCACGTGGCCGCGTCCTCGTCAGCACCATCGACCAAACCTAGCAGAACCCGCAACGGAGTTACCCACTATCTGCTAGCCGACTGCCGACAGCAACTTTGTAGGCCATCTCGGCTCGTACCAAAATGGGCAAGAAGGCCGGCAAGAAGAGCGGCGGCGGCACTGCCATAGGAGGGGGGGGTTTCTCCATGCTGGACGTAGATCCCCGCCACGTGAGGTACGCCCACAGCAAGATCAAGCCCCACTTTTCGGGCTGCGGCCGCACCATCGAGCAGACGCTGGGGGAGATCCGAGAAGGAAAAACCCGGCCATCGGATCTCCCCATGATAACGGTCTTGCTCCGACCGCCGGACCCTGTGGTTGACGGCGAGCAGCAGCAACAGCAGTGTTTCTTCTCGCTGAACAACCGCCGCCTTTTCGTCTTCAAGGTGCGCACCACCATGGTATCTAAAGGTAGTTGCTATGGTACGTCCGGGTGTTTTGTCTTCGAAGCCCCGTGCAAAGGTTAGGGTTCGAAGGGTCGCAGGTTTTTGCCGCCCTCCCGTTACAACAAACAGGATAGACTGTCCGCCCAGACGTTTTTTTGGTCGCTCAATCTTTTTTTCCTTCTCCGATATTGCGTTCTGCGCACCCCAGCCCCACCCCATGCACACTTCAAGAAACAGAAGATAGCAGCGCGCTTTGCAGTCGGTAGCACCTTGTGGAGCTCCTCAAGAACCATGATAGAAAGGGGTTCCCGATGGAAGTAGAAGAAGGGTGTATTTGTCAATAGGACCGGTCATCCAAACAATACAATCTGTCTAGATTCCAGCCAAAGCAACAGAGCGAGGCCGTCGCGCCGAACTGCGTGCCCGCTGTAACCCCCCCCCCCGCCCCCCCCCGGTGATTGTCATCGGGGTTAGGTTTTCGTCGCTTGGCAACGACGTTGTAAAACAAGTCAATTCACTTCGTGAACTCGGCAACCAGGTTACCGTTTTTTTTTTTTACCTCCGGTAACCACGATGGTGGTCGAGTAGATCATGTTGTGCGGTGCGAAAACCCTCACTGCGCGCAAGGGGGATGATCGCACCACGTTGTGTTAAAATGGTCAAGCACCCTCGAGGCAGTTACACAG